ATAACTCATCCTTGTATTTTCTCTCCAATAACATTCCTCTACCCTTTCTCATATTCTAGTTGTCAGATCTCTTTCTTTTTTCCTCTCCTTGTTTCTTTCCTTCTTTCCTTTATCTTGATTAGGGTACCACTGGTGTTACTTAACCTTCCTAAGACAGTTATTGTCCCGGGTATAGCAATGCAATCCCTCAAAGATATCTTCAACGAGGATTTTCACTTCACCATATTGCTTGATTGTACCTTTGTTGATTTGGTGGTTTTTTCTTCTAACACTGGATGTTGGTACTGCCAGCACTCCATCCCACCATCTTGTTTCTGTTTCCTTACTCTAAGAAAGTTCATTTCCACTTCTCTTATTTCAGCTAACATGGCAATGGCATAGGCTGGGAAGTGCCTAGGCCTCAATCACTGCATCCAGAGGGTTGCTTTGGGTCTATTGGGATATACATTTGAACATTTGGAAGTCTATCTCAATAGAATATAATATAATATTATTAGTGGGCAGGATTGGCTTGATTTTGTCTTTGTATATCCAGTCTGTTGTATAATAGATGCTTAATAAAATACTTGCTGAATTAATTTGAATTAATGCATGGAAGAAAGTTGCAGTATAGTTAGAAAATATACCATAGATAGATATGTGTGTATGTACGTATGTATGTATGTGTATATATGCATGAAGAGAGAAAGAAAGAGAGAATAAATTACATTTTGAGGATGATATCAAGAGGTGGAAAAAATCTTAGACTATATTAATTCCAAAAGAAAAATTATTGAGAAAACATTAACAACTGTCTACTTATATGCCTACTCTCCTATCCATAAAAAAGCATTTTGTGAGGTCATCTTTACATGAATTGAGGATATTAGGAAGGAACAAGCAGATTTTCAAAACCAATATCCAGCAATGGACTATATATTGACATTCTTTCAATTGATGAAAAGACCTAGAGAATATAAGATCCCATTGTGCTCATTGTTTGTTGATTATGAAAAAAACAGCATTTAATTTGATAAAGTAAAATGTTGTTGTATAGGCTCTTTTACAACGAGGTATCTCTCATCCATGTCTAAGATTTATTCAGGATTCCTCAGAATATGTAACAGCGTAATAATGCTGTTCAATGACTCTCTAATAAAAAACATCAAGTGAGGCTTAAAGTAGGGAGGTGTGTGCTCCAAATGTATTTGCCACCATGATGGAAAGGTATCCTTCACAGAGTCCAAGTTAAGGAAGTATTCCCTATGAATACCTTCTTCTAGATTCTTCCAGAAGCTTTGTTTGAGGACAACATTATGTTGATTGCATTAAGCTCCAATACGTGGCAGAACCTTCTGGAAGACATTTGCCATCACTTAAAAAAAGTTTGACCTATCCATCCATCCACAAAAGATAGACCACATGGATGAAGAGTGTGTGTTACTAGGATTTCAACTTGCATCTAAATGGATACCTTAAAGAGTTTATCCAACAAGTTATGTATCTGGGACAGACATATAGGCAATAAGCTGAACCCAGAGTTGAAAAACAGGAAAGCAACCTGGATTGCTTATGGGAAATTGCAAAGCACTTTTACTAAGCTCAAGCTTCTCATAATAGTGAAAGGCCATCTTTTTAATACAGACACTTTATCACTGAACTGCAATCTTTACTCCATCTTTGATCCTCTTTTCTTTTTCCTTTCTCTCTCTCCATTTTAGTTCTTTGATCTCCTCTCTTTGTCTCTTTCTTTCCTCTCCCCTCCTTTCCCCTCCTCTCCCCTCCTTTCCCCTCTTCTCTTCTCCTTTCCTCTCTTTTCCTCACCCCATCTTCCCATTTTACTATTATTTTACTTTGAAATCTCTAAACCACCAAACATCCTATATTTTTTCTTTTTGTTCTCATCCCCAATCTCACCTATACAACTACAAGTTTTCTCTTTCAATTAAACCACCTGTTCTAATTGAAGGAAGGAAAGGGAAAGAAACGAACATTTATTAAGCACTTCTTATGTGCCAGACACTGTGTTAACATTTTACAAATATTATCTCATTTGAGGAAATATTATCCCACTACTTTTATTTTCATTATCCTACCTACCTCCATCTTAGTTTGGGTTATTTCCCACATTTAAGCAACTTCCTATTTCTCATCTGTCCATGCACCTCATCGTAGAATGACTTAAGTATTTCTGGGAAAGATACAATAGTCATCCTAAAAGAAAGAGAAAGTCATTCTAAATTACTTAATGGATGAGATGGTTAGTATGAGAAATGCCTATGGTTAATGTGTATGTTTATATTTGATGTATGAAATACCAAGAACAACATCAGAGTTTTTTTTTTCAGAAAATGAGGGAGTTGTTGTTTGGGGGTGGGTCTTACTTCCTTACATATAGGCTTTGTGACTAAGGATTAAGTAGTCATAATAACAACAATAATCCTCATTCTTTTTTTTTTTTGGAGGCAAATCGGGGTTAAGTGACTTGCCCAGGGTCACATAGTTAATAAGTGTATGGGGCTGGATTTGAACTCGGGTCCTCTTATCTCCAATGCTGGTGCTCTATCTACTGTGCCACTTAGCTGCTTCAATAATCATTATTCTTAATGAAAAGTATATGTATCATAATATTGACTTACAATTATTAAAAGTAAATATCAACCCAAAACGGAACGAAATGTTTTCCTTTCCCCTCTCATTTTCATAAAGTTAAGTTCTGGAGCCCAGCTAGGTAGACAGGGATATAATCAGAGTTTGTCAACACTAATTTGAGAATCTTCTGGTTCCATGTTTCCTAACACTGATTTGTTTGTTGCAATGTTTAGTTTGTTGCGATATTTAGTAAGTCTATGTGTGCTGGCTTGTTAGTCCTTTTTTGAAGGAGGACAACAAGCAGAAAAAGAGTACCTGCTGGTTTGGGTTTTTCTCAGAATCCCCATAGTAGATAGTCCTGTTGTCACATGTGTGGTTTATAAAGGCCTATGACTAATTCAGATTCGGGGGGGAGGGGGAATGCATATGTCAGTGGAGCAGATGGGAATTGTGATTTGTCACACAAGCTGATGTAGTCTTTGTCAGAACAGGTAAACTGAGGAGGTAGGCTTAAAGAGAGAAATTATGGTATAAGTATCTTTTGTATCCTATCTTTTTGTCTTTGTTTTTCCATCTTTCCTTCTCTCTCTCGGAGACAACATATTTTAGCTCAACTGGAGGAATCTCGAAACTCAGAAAGAACCGATTATTCTGCAACAAGCTAGGAAGAGAAAAAAAAGAGTCTCTTAGGATCCTTAAAAGGGGGATCCCTTAGATTTCTGAACAAAAAGAAATAATCACAGAAGCTTGATATATAGTATACACACGTGTGTATATATGTACGTATATATGTACATATGTATGTATGTATGTATATATGTACGTATATTCCTACCTGGACAAGCAGGACTCATTGTTCATCCAGAAATTAGTTAGATATCCATTTATAGAGAAGTTTGTTTCCATGGTGTCCATTAACTAGAGTATTAATGGAGGGATGGTTTTGGGGGTAAGAAGAGGGAAAATCCTCAACTTCTACCAATTATTGGGTCTACTGACCTTCCAAAACTATTGGTATCAGGACTTCTGAGATCTTTTGGATTTGGTCTTAGTACTTCTACAAAGTACTCTAGAGCCATAGTCCCCAAACTCTTTTTTGTCCTTTCAGTTAAAAATTGAGCATGCTCCTCAATATATATGTTTATCATCTATATACATTTACTACTTTTATAATATTTGTATACCTTATAAAACAAAGAGAAATAAATTTAAAAAATGAAATACTGTTTATTCCTATAGTCAATAGGGGGCCACTGGAGTTTATCGAGTAGGAGAATAACATGGCTTGACCTCTACCTGAGGAAAATACTTTGACAGCTTTCTATAAGATGAACTGGAGATAGGAGAGATTTGACGGAAGTTCCTAGGAGGTAATGGAGAGAAGAGAAACGAGGTGGGGAAGCCAACTGGGAAGCTTTGGAAGTAGTCCAAGAATAAGATAAAAAGGGTATATATAATACAGAAAAGGGACATATGTGAAGGACATGTAGGTAGAAATGACAAGATTTAGCAGCTGATTGGCAATGTGGCATGAGGAAGAATGAGGAATTGAAGATGATACCAGGGGATGAACCTGGGTGGCTAGACGAATTGTAGTGTCCTCAATAGTAGTAGGGAAGTTTCTAAAAGGACCATTTTGGAGGGAAAGGCGATATAATGAGATGCATGATACAAATCACATCCTACTCATGCCTTCTTATATTGTGCAATTTACTCTGCCCCACCGAAAATAAACAGAGGGAAGGCAAGGATATTGCCCATTGACCAGTACCTTAGAATGTAGAACCTGTTTCTCTGAGGAGAGGGAGGAAGGGAGAGAAACAGAGAGAGACAGAGAGTGAGAGAGAGAGACAGAGAGAGACAGACAGAGAGACAGAGAGACAGAGAGAGAGAGAGACAGAGAGAGAGACAGAGAGACAGACAGAGAGAGAGACAGAGAGGTAGACAGAGAGAGAGACAGAGAGTGAGAGAGAGAGAGACAGACAGACAGAGAGTGAGAGAGACAGAGAGAGAGAGAGAAAGAAAGAGAGAGAGAGAGAGAGAGAGAGAGAGAGAGAGAGAGAGACAAAAAGGGAGACAGAGAAAGAGAGAGACACAGAGAGAGAGAGAGAGACAGACAGACAGAGACAGAGATAGAGACAGAGACACAAACAGACAAAGAGAGAGATAAAGGCAAAAAGGTTGCAGGCTTGTAGGCCTGGTAAAATTAGGTCACATGCACAGTCCTTTGTCTCCTCATCTCCATCTCCAGTGACTAAATTGGATGCTCTGCTACAAAGAATCACTTTGGAATAAGGAGGGTTTGGCTTCCAGTAAGAAAATAGAGAAATATTTCCTCTCTCGAAGTCATGTGATAAATTTGTGCATCAAGAGAGACCCTCCGTCATCCATGACAGAAAGACGCCTTTTCAATCTTGCTTGCTACCTACCTGGAGTCAGGAAGAGCTGAATTTGAATCTTGCCTCACAGTCTTAGCCATGTGACTCCAGCGAGCTACTTTACATCTCTCAACCTCAGTTTTCTCATCTGTAAAATCAGGGAAATAATAACATATCTCACCAAGTTTTTGTGAGTATCAAATGAAATAACTTACATACTTTGCAAACTTTAAAGTGCTATTTAAAGTTAATATTATGATTATAAAAAACCCCCCACTATGAGGAGCTAGGCAGAGGACAAACAGGTTATTCCAAAGCTTCCTCCCTATAAAAATTGCTGGATGGTAGTCAGCTAGTAAGTTAGATAGAACAGAAGAAACTGAAATCACAGCTATGAGGCATCACTTATTAACTATAACATTACCAAGGAAAGTAGAGAGCTAGGGATGCCTTGTAACACATTGGCCTAAGTAGGCTGTTCTTTCCACAAAGCAATCTCCTTCAAAAAGTTTAGCAGCACCAGAATTATGAGTCCATTATTATCTGGGAATAGAGTAACCAGTGGACAATCAGATGATGCCCAGTATGAATGGTAAATGGACTTGAAAGCATTTTGTAGCATAATCAGAAAAAGCTACCAAAGTGAATTCCATGTGAGTTCATCTTTACTTTTCAGTGTGTGTGTATGTGTATGTGTCTGTGTGTCTCTGTGTGTGTGTAAGCAGATGGAGAGAAATAGAGGGAGAAGGGGACAAAGACAAAAGCAGAAACAGAGGGATGTTTAACAGAGTCAACATTCAGAATCCAGAGACCTGAACACAAACTAGCTACAAAGCCCTGGAATTATCACTTAATGTCTGAGTGCCCCTAAGACTCCCTAAGATTATGCAGAGAAAATGCAGCTCGCATCACCATTGGAAGAAAAAACAGATAGATAAATAGATAGATAGATGATAGATTACAGAAGATAGACAGACATGCCACCTTTCACTCAGCTTTGATATCTTCATGATATACCACAAAATGTTTAATGCATATATACAGCCTTTTGTGAAATGTGGCATGAGTTTATATAATTCATTTCCCAGTTCTTTTAAATTCCTAGGCCCCAGTAGAAGGATGTGGATTTCTCAGCACTCTTGACTTGGGTATAGATGTTCTCTGACAATCCCCAAATAGTGGTTTGAATTGTATAATAGTTTACTTTCAATACAGGAAAAGATGGGACAATCAGGTAAATACTAAGCTAAAAATGCTTCAAGTATGGCAGTATTCTTATATCTCTTTTCAGAGTTGCATTGATTACTTGTTAAAGGCAAACTGGATATTTCTGCTTTTCTTCCAAACTAATAAAATTGAAGGTTTGCCTTCCACTTCAAATGTAAAACCCTAAGGGAATCATGTAGGTTTTTGAGGGAAATTATCAAGTTTCTGCAATATTATATTAATATATACTATAGAAGGATAGCAATTTGCTAAGTACCATGGCCTGTCCATCCTGAGAATGTGATAAAGGTTTACTAATAACAGGAACACTTATCACCAAGGAAAATATTGAAGCTATAGAATTAATATTTGGTAATGTCTGACTAATCCAAAGAGAACAATTTATTTTTTGAAAATAGGTAAATCAAACTATGGAGTACAACTGTATCTGTAGAGAATGAATTTATGTATTCCAAACTTAGCTCCTTTTGGTTTGATACTCCAAGGACATGTTCTCTAGAAAATCCTGGAGGAAAGCCCACTCACTGGTAATTCACAAGAGGTAAAATAACATATGAGTTATTAAAAGGTCTTGCCGCGGAACTGGGATTAATTTCCATATCCCATAGGAATCCATATGCAGTCTGTTATCACACAAATGGAGTTTTGGTGGGTGGGTTAAAAATTAGCTACCAAAATTAAATTAAAAATAACTGAGCCTTAGTAGAATCAGCCAGATTTTTTTTTTAAACAAAAGCTGGAAACCAGGGAGGAAAAAGTATTTCAGGCATACAGGATTTGTTTTATAACTCCTTTAGTATTGAAGATACTCTGCTGAACATATATTCCTATAGCTCCTAACTCAGACACTATGTTCCATAATTATTTGTGATGTATATTTCCTTTTAAAGAAAGAATATTTGGAAAAATTTTTTAGAGGACTACTTATGGGAGACTATAATTCTTTTTTTTTTTACTTAGAATTAAGGAATGACAACTAATTCTTGTACCAGGCAGAACTCATGGTGTTCTAAAAAGTCTTAGTGCATTTTAAGCTTATTAAGCTAGTAAAGTTGAAAAGTATTATGACTTTTGGGAAAATTTGAGGATACCTTATATGTAATAATATAATATGTATATGTAATAATATATGTAATGTATAGTAATAATAGCTAGCATTCATACAGTAGTTTGATTGTGCAAAGTTTTTTACAATCATCATTTTATCTAAAATGAACAATAACCCTACTGAGATAGCTGCTACAAGTATTCTTATCCCCATTTTATAGGTGAGGAAGCTGAGGTTGAGTGGTTAGATGATTTATCCATAGTCACATATCATGTGTCAAAGGTAGGGTTTGAATTCATGTGCATTATTCATTATGCCACACTGCCTATATACATATGTTGAATATAGAGCCACTGCACTTGGGGAAAAAAAATGACATTTTAAATGTTTATGTATTAAGCATACTGAGATGTAAATTGTAGGAAACAGAGACAATTTTCATGTATATCATATCTCTTTTTTACAGTACAAAACACTGTACTTAATACTAAACAAATACTATAATCAGTAAAAACATGTTTCACTATCCGTATTGACTACATTCTATTAAATAAAATACAAATTATAATTAGTTGACATTAACACAATTGGAAAGCTATCTTGATAGGCAATTTATTTAAAAATCTTAGCCATATAGAGACTACGGATTATAATCCCACCAGCAGCAGCGACACCTCTTTAGGAAATTTCCTTGCATGCAATGTCATAAGGAAGAAAAATAGGCCTTTGCAATTTACTACATTGGAAACCCTGTAAATGATGTCTTTAAAAAAAAAAAGTAATTTCTTTCTATCGATGACTCAAAACCTTGTGTTTTTCCACCAGCCCTGCAATGATTCTTTGCCACCTTGCACCTCAGGGATTCCATTTGTTTGTAGTTTATGGGACTCTGGAATCAAACAGCATGAAACAGGAGTAATTATTTTTTTATAACATTTTCATCTTGAAGGATAATAATAAAGCACTATAGGTTGATAGTGCCCTATATATGGTGATTGTTTCATCTAGCACTGGTGTGCATCTTCTTCCACCTTCCTTCCTGGGGAAAGTGCAACATTTCCTTTCACAAATAAGCTCCTTAAAAGCAAGAATTGTGTCTTTGTGAGTGTGTTTTCTCATTCAGTCTACATATTTACCTCCTTTGTAGAGCCCTCACTCATTTCCTCTGTTCTTGGCTTTGAAAAACAACCCTAGAACTAAGTCAGGATACTTGTGCTCTTTGGTCAAGTGTTCTGTATTATCTCAGATTATTTTATTCTAAGATCTAGTAAGGTTGAACATAATAATAATGACGATAACAATAAAAGCATTTATATTACGTTTTAAGGTTTACAAAGCACTTTACAAATATCATCTCATTTTACCCTGACAACAACCTTGGGAGATTAAGGCTATTATTTTATGGATGAGGCAGAGGAAGGTTAAGTGATGTGCCCAGGATAGCACAGCACAGGTAATAAATGTCTGAGGTCAGATTTGAACTCAGGGCTTCCTAATTCCAGATTCAGTCCTCTATGCAGTGCATCACCTAGCTATAAACCAATAAGCTCATCAAGAAAGTCAGTGTGGTATGGTGGAAAGACTGTGGTTCAAATACCACCTCTGATACTTAATATCTCAGTGACCTTAAGCAAATCATTCAATTTCACTCACCTTCAATTTCCTTACTGCTAAAGTGAGAAGTAACCTTTTTTGTGCCATGGATCCCTTTGTTACTCTGGAACTCTTGTCTTTGTCTGTCCCCCATGCCTGCAACATTCTCCCTCCTCTGCTCTGACTGCTGACCTCCCTGGCTCTTTTCAAGTCCCAACTAAAATCTCATCTACAGGAAGCCTTCTCTTAATTCTAGGGCCTTCCTTCTGTTTATCCTGTATAAAGCTTGCTTTGTATGTATTTCCCTCATTAAACTGTAACCTCCTTGAGGGCAGGGACTGTCTTTTGTCTCTTTCCCCATCTTCAATGCTTTAGCACAATGCCTGGTGCATAGCACATAGTACATAGGCACTGTTTTAACAAAAGTTTATAGACTGATTTTCAGAACCATATTCTTAAACGCACAAATGAAAAGACAAAGGAAAGCAAATGTACTGGGGGACTCCAAGTCACAGATTGCTGTTCTAGATGGCTTTTTGAAGGATCTCCATCTCCTGATCTATGACCATAGAACTGAGGGAGATTTTTTTCCTCTCCTATACAGAGCTATGGGGAGGGGGGGGTGAATAATAAGAAAAAAACATCTCCACTTTGCCACGTGAACCACAGTGGCCCCAAGGGGATAGTGGTTTCCATTTTTTGAAAGTTCAAATTAGTGTTGCTTTCAAGATACCAGCACCTTTATGGTGTCCCTGGGATGTTTTACCCTAACCTAGCACTGTAGAAAAAAATATAGAGTTAATTTTTTTTTCTTTGGAAAGAATTAGCATTAGGGTGAGCTGTCCTAGCAAAATTCCCAGCAATTTGTTTTTCTTTATAGTTTCTAGTAATAAAAGATAAAAAGCATAGATCACTATCTTTCTTCTTCTTCTTTTGAGGATTAAAAGGAGGGAGTGGTAAAGTAAGAGTAAATAGAGCTTGAGAATAGTGTGCCTGTTTATTTGTGGCTGATGGAGCATGGAGCCTGCTTTAACATTTCCAGGCCTTTTGGAAGTAAACGATGGTCAAGCTGGCCTCCCATTCTGCTCTCTCATTTGCTTACAGTTTTGTTTCTTCCCAAGAGAAGCTAGGTACTTTCTTTGTCTTTTTATTATCTTCCAGGTGGTAACAGGCCTTTTAAGTTTCTATCTTCATCTGGGATTCCATTTCAGTTCCTGTCTTATCAAGTCTCTTTTTTCCCATTCTGGTGATATGTGTCAACCATAGCAAATGGTATTTCTTTCCAATTTTATAGGCCTACAATTGTACAGTTCAGTTTAGCAGACTCCTTCTCTTGGTGACCTTCTGTGTCCAATAACTATCAAGTATAACTTCTAGACATTTAGCTTTACCTATGACTATTTTTTTTCTGGATTTAATTTTTTTTCTCTTTCCTCTTTCTGTGTCTCTGTGCCTCTGTCTCTGTCTCTGTCTCTGTCTCTCTGTCTCTCTCTCTCTCTCTCTCTCTCTCTCTCTCTCTCTCTCTCTCTCACACACACACACACACACACACACACACACACGGAATCCTTTTTATAACTAGTAATCATATTGCTTTTTGAAAAGTCAAATTTCTTATTTCTGCCTCTGGTTCTCTACTTTTTTGCTTTTTCTTTTTAAACTCTAAAGCCTATTCCTCCTCTCTGAACCATTTGTTCAGAGTACTTAGGTACTCTGTGGGTTGCTAGAAATGGTGCCAGGAAGCCCTTCCATGAGACGGTCCAGCTTGCTATGGAAAAGTTTGTTAAGTTTTCATTAAAACTGCCAGTCTCCATAGCAAATAATATGGTCATTGTTCTTCCAGAAAGGAGTGGCTTGTGTTTAGGTTTGCCGTGTTTTCCACTCTATGGCAAAAACAGGAGAGAAATCCCTGCCAAGCTAAGGAAGCAGAATAAAATTTACAAGCAGTTTCTTCAGCGAGGGAGCCAGCTGAACTCACAGCACTCTCTCTCTAAAGCTGAACAAAATCATATCTGTTCTTATAATTACGTGACAAATTATCACTTCCGTATGTGTTTCTAAAAGAGTGCTGAGGTAAGGCAGGGCCTGAACCCGGGGCAATTGGAAGGATAAAGCACTGTCCGAATATCCTTAAAGCATAAAGGAGCAAGGTTGAGGAACAGCTTGGTAAAGCCAAATCTGTCAGGCAGGCTGATTTATACTAAATAAATAAAAGCGCCTGCAAAACTGTTCTTCACCTACACTGAAAAGGGTTTAGAATTAAGGGGTGAACTTGTTCTGCCTTAGAGGTCAGCATGAACACATGGTCACTTAGTGGCCACAGTGTCCGGTTCTCAGACCCTTTATTGTCAATGCACTGAAAGGCTTGCTTAAGGCTAGGCAGAAAAGGACACAAATCATAGATTCTCAGAGTTGAAAAGGATCTAAGAGGTCGTTTAGCCTAGGCCTTACCTGAAGCATTATTTCTCTCTACCAGGCCTCTGGCAAGTGGTTGCTTAGCCTCTGCCTGAACAGCTCAACAATGAGGAATTCATTACCTCATAAAGTAAACCCATTCCCCACCTCTATTTTTTTTTAAACAACTCTGATTGTTAGGAAATTATTCGTCATGTTGAGATGAAATCCTCCTCCCTTGGATTCTGCTACTCCCTGTGATTTCCATCTGCTGTGTCTCTGAGACCGAGCAGGATGAATGGAATCTCACTTCCTTGTGACACCCTTCAAATATTTGAAGGCGATGACCGGGTTCTCCCAAAACCTTCTCTAGTCAGTGCTAAATATTCCCAGTTACTTTACCTCATCTTCATAAGACAGAGTTTTGAGTCTTTCTCACCATCATGGTTGTTGCTCTTTGGACATGCTCAAGCTTTTCAAAGTCTTCCTAAAATGTAGAGTCAAAAACAAGACACAGGACTTACTCTAGATTTGGTCTGTCCAGGGAAGAATATAAGTATAGCATCCTTCATTTTGGGCACTTCTGTTTAAACAATCTAGAATCTCATTAGCTTTTTAACACCCATGTCACATCCGTGTTGATGTGACTTTTTAGTTACCCATGTCACATCCATATTGCAGTTCAATAAACCCCCCCAGGTCTTTTTCAACTCAAGCTATGTCAGCCTTGCATCTCCCAGCATATACTTGTGATGTTTATTTCTTAATTACATTTTAAACTCTGCATTTCTCCTTAATCACTCTTTATGCAACCTCTCTCGCTTTTGAAATTACTTTCCATATGCAATGTTTATTAACGAGTCGAGTGTACATATTGTATTCTTCCCTCCATCCCCCACTGTAAGTCCCACTAAAATGGTAGATTGTAATCTCCTTGAATTCAGGAAAGATTTTGTTTTTGCTTTAGAGCCCCCAGCATCTAACACAGTGCTTTGTCTACAGAGGGCACTTGATAAATATTGGATGGATTGAATTGAATTTGTTTCATTCATCTTAAATGAAATTGTCTAATTAGTTCATTTCAGAGACACCAATGTGGCACAGTGAATAGAGCTGGCCTGGATTTAGGAAGATCTGTGTTCAAAGCCAAACTCAGGTACCTCCTAGTTGATGTGACCCTGGGCAAGTCACTTAACTTCTGCCTGCCTCAGTTTCCTCAGCTGCAAAATGAGGATAATAATAGCATCTACCTCACATAGTTCCTGTTAGAATCAAATGAGGTATTTCTCAAGCACTATGTACCTTGCATGTAGCAGGTGCTTAATAAATGTTTGTTCCCTTCCTCCCTTCTTGAACCCATGCCTACTTCCCTGCTTACCATCTTATCATTCCAGCCTTTCATGAACTTTTGGGATCTTAGTTCTTAGCTATTTCTCCTAGCTTCCTGTCATATAGAAATTTGCTAAGCATACCATCTATCAATCAGTCATTGATTTTTTTAAATAACCACAATAGGGCATAAGACAGATCCTTGGGGCACTCCACCAAAGACTTCTCTCTAGGAGGTTGATACCAACTGCTAAATATCACCCAGATGATGCCAATCTGGTGTCTCCTATTCATCAGTTATCATTTACTCTTGTTTCAACACGTCAATCCATCTCCCTTTCTAGTCATTCATGGAGATGATATATTAAAAGCCATTTCTCATATGGAAGTCATAATTGGTAACATGCCATAGCCTGTGTATGCCCAACTCACACCCCCTTCAGTTTTGGTTCTTCATTGAATGTGATGTTACGTGATTCACAGCTGTGTGTAATCACTGGTGATACATCAAGGTTAAGAAAGATACACTTTTGTTCCAGGTCAAAGCTTAGGATTGTAAAAGTACTAATCACTATAGCACATGTGCTCCTTCCCATGTCTCAGTTCTGAGTCCAACTCATTGTCCATTTGTCATGCCCCTTCCTATTAGAATGTGAACTTTGAAAGCAAAGATAGCCTTATTTTTCTGTTTGTAGCTCCATAACTTAACTACAGTATTTTGTACTTACTAAGTACTTAATAAATACTTCTTCCTTCATTCCTTCATACTTACAGACTAGCTTTCTGGCATGTTCATCTAACTGCCTGCTATAGTGTGGACAGTAGGAATTCTTTATCAGTCATCCATTTGGTTTTCTTCATATGGAATTTTTTAACCTTTTTTCTTGGGAATGGTTGTTAGTCTCATTAAGAAAATTACATAGTATGGTGAGATTTAATGTATTCAGTACCATGTCATCTTAGAACAGGAATATCCAGAGGCCCTCCCCATCTATAATGAATCCCTCTTTCATTGATGATGAAGGGCTGTAGTTTGCCAACCCATGATATAGACTTGGCAAAGACCATCTTTTATGACAATGGCAAGCATCTTTGTATAAACATTCATCTTCTTCTTTTATGCCTCACTTAATATTGATAATTAGAGAGTCATTGAACAATGTCATCCATGGAGAGATTTTTTTTTTCTTGAAGGAAAGCCTTTAAGGATACATTTTGTTATACAAAATGAAATACTTTTTTTGTTGTTTTAATGATAGGTAATAAAATAAAATAAACCCAACAGGATATCATATTTTCTCTGCCTTTAGTCAATTGTGGGCCTCTGAACATGTAGTTTTTTTGTGGAAAATTGATACTTCTATAACCTTAACATTTGCAAAATGTTTCATATAGGTTCATAGATTTAGAGTTAGGAGGGATCTTGGAAATCACCTAATCCAACCTCCTAATCTTACTGGGAAACTGAGGCCCAGGGAAATAAAATAACAACCAAGGTTATACCAGAATTGAGGAGCAAAGGTGAGATTTGAGCACAGGGACCTTTGACTTCAGAGCATATCCTTGGATGCATCAGCTAGTTGCCATGGTACGTATGGACCTCCTTATTTGATCCTCATAACATTCTTCCAAGTACTATATGTCATTATCCTCATTCTATAGATGAGAAAACTAAAGCTCATAAAGTTTAAGAACCATGGTCATACAACTAGTAAATGTCAAAAGAGGGATTCAAACCCAGGTGTCTACCAACCCTAAATATAAACCTCTTTCCGATATTAGTCCTCTCTCTCTTAATATATACCTTGCTTCTTATTGAAGATAACATTTGTGATATAGAAGTATAAAGCTTCTGAACTGTCTACAAACTTTTGACCTCTTTCGTTGGTTTTCATTTGGAATCATATTTTCCATCATATTTTGCTTTTATTCTAATTCTAATTTATCAGGCATTTACTAAATGCTTGCTGTGCTCCGTGTACTATTCTAGGAACTGGGGAAAAAATAACGAAGCAGCCTCTGCCCTCAGAGAGTTTATAGTCTAAGTTCCTCTATTGTGGTCACTTTTCCATTAAAATCTCAGTGTGCACATTGACTTAAGTTGGAGGACCTTGTCAAGCTCCTTGTAGAGTTTTTCCACCTATTTAATACAATGCAACAAATGTTGGCCAGTAGAGTTGCAATGATGTCCATGATGATCTTTTTCCTTACACTCAATATAAGAATGCAGAAAATAATGACCAAGTAAGTGCACATAAGGTGATATCTCTTGTAGTTGTGACCATGTTATCCTCCCCTCCCCCATAAGCTCCATCCCAACTCAGTTCATATCAGGTACTTCCTCTTATTCCAGGATCAAATATCAACTCCTATGTTTCATTGAAAGCTCTTCACAACATGGCCACTTCCTGTCTTTTTAGTGTTCTTACACTTGAGTCCCTTCCATGTGCTCTCTATTCCAGCCATGGTGTTCCCTACACGCATCACACTCCATCATATGACCTGGATTCCAGTTTCAAGGGTGTGACCTTGGGAAAGTCATTTAATTTCTGTGAATCTCAAATTCTTCATCTATAAAATGGAGATAGTCATACTACCTGCCTCACAGGTCCATTGTGAAACTCAAATAAGATAATATTTGCAAAGCATTCTGTGATACTTTGTAAAGAAATATGTCAAGGTAAGCTATGATTATCACTATAGAGTGAGTCCTTGAGGCTTGATACTGTGCGTTATACTTCTTTATAACCCCCACATCACCTACCAGTGATATGCACATAAGAGATGCTCAGTAAACATTTTTTGAATGAATGATCTTGAATTAATTAGCATAAAATATAAGACAATATCATTAACTGCTGAAACATATGGAATTATGAACTGTAGGGGTTCATAGAAGAGGTAGATAACGAGGGCTAGAACAGCCAAAGAAGGCTTTATAGAACAAATGGGAATTGAGCTGAGTCTTGTATGATTGCTAAGTTATGGAGAGGAAGCAGGGAGAAGGGAGGGTGAAGAGTGACTGACATTAAGTAGTCTAGGAGTGGTGAGTTCATTTTCTTGTACCTCCTGAGCCTCCCTGTTCTTCCACCCCCAAAGAAAAGGATTGCTATGGTTCCATGAGCCCTTATTAAACTGGAGCTATAACTGATGAATAAAATAGATAGATAGATGATAGATAGATAGATAGATAGATAGATGGAATAGCCAAATAGAAGCAGACCCTTCCCAAAGCCCCTTACATCCTGGTCCTGTGTTCCCTCCCTCACTGTAGTAAAAATAAAAAAAAAAAGATTTGGAAAAAATGAAGGGAATTCTGAAGACATGCTCCTCCATGAGAGTTTTGCAATTTCAGGGAGAGCTGGTACGGTACAGTGCAGAGAGTGGTTGGAAAAGCAGTTTGTTCTCTGCTAATGATAGCTATGGATTCTGAAATGAGGCACAGCAGGTGGGACAGTAGCACTCAATTTTCAAAATGTGTGCCCTAAAACGTGTTTGCTTAAACCTTGTCTCTACCACCCTTTAGGGGCCTCTGCATCCATCAAATCCAGACCCCAGGAAGGAAATTCAAGGCTCCCATTTCTCACCAACACTTTAAAAAAAACCCATTACAATTTATCAGTTACCTTGGAGTTTCAGTTCCCGCAAGTTTCTAAAATGGCTATGTCCAGGCCCCTCATGTTCTTTGAAAAAAAAATATTGTGTTTGTCCAGGCCCAAATAAGTTTGAGTATGGGAATTTCTTCATTCATGAATAATATTTGAAGTCATAGGGTGCCAATTATCTAGCAAGAGTCAGGTAACCTAAAGGCAATGAGGGTACCAGTTAAAAGTATTGTAGTTAGAGAAATCTATGACAGTTGTTTGAAGTACAGTGGCCCAGAGTGAGGACTTGGAGTCTGAAGCCCACCTCAGATGCTTGTTGCCTATGTGGACCAGATGAATCTCTTAATTTCTCTGAGTCTCATTATGCTCAAATATAAAATGGGAATGACTATAGCACCTACTCACAGAGTTCTTGTAAAGATCAAATGAGATTTTTTTGTGTGTGTGTTTGTGTGTGTGTGTGTGTGTACATGTCTTGGGAACTTTAAAGTGCTATATGAACATAAGGTATTATTTAGCCACAAGTTAAGAAAACATATGGGTT